GGCCGGACTCGAATGGTGCTCTGTTTTGCCATAAGTGCCACGAGCAGTTTGTGAGGTGGGAAGCTGTCGAGGAGCATCATCTTTCCAAACACGCCGGTTAGATTCTTTCGGTTTTCGGTATTTGATCGTGTTTATTGCATTTTTCGTGTGATTTGTATGAATTGGTGTTACTTGATTTGCAATGTTGCCCTTTGTAAGAGAATTTAATTTGATGTGTTTTTCATGAATTATCTTGGTCTGGCATTAGTCGGTAGCAATTTTAGTCTCAAGATTTTAAAATTTCTCATTTTTGGTAATGTCATTTCATATTTTATTGCAATTTCATATTTTATTGCAATTTCAATCATTTGAGGATTGAAATTGTAACAAATTTCCAAATTTATATCTTTGGGACGGACCTTTTATTCGCGATTTAAGTCATGTAGTTTAAAATTTTGTTGAAATTGTAGTTCTCAAAGGACTTAAATTGCGGCAAAATATTAAATAACAAGACTAAAAGACGAAAACCAACATGACTAAAAATGCATTTTTGCCAATTCTGTTACGATTTTGTTCGGATTTTGTTGACTATGGAAATGTGCACCCAAACTGATGGCATTTCATATTTTTATCTACGTTTTCTGTGTTTGATTCGATTCAGTTACCGAGCTCGCAGAAGGCGATTCGTCTCGAAAAATAGTTGAGATCATATGTCGGGCCAGCACAGCCCGGATCGAAAACCCTCGCGGTGGTGGGATCGAAAGGATCCTCAAAGTCCACAACATGCAGAAAACGCTTGCCCAATTCGAAGAGTATCGTGAACTCGTGAAGATCAAAGCCAGCAAGCTCTCGAAAAAACACCCTCGTTGCCTCGCAGACGGCAACGAGCTCCTAAGATTTCACGGGGCGTTCTTGGAGTGTTCTCTCGGCACGAAAGGCTCGTGCAGCCTCTGTAAATCCGAAAACTGCCGAGTGTGCCGTATTTTGAGGTACGGGTTCTCGACCAAGAAGGAGCTGACAGGTGGCGTAGGGGTGTTCACGGCCTCGACTAGCGCGCGGGCTTTTGAGTCGATACAAGGGCCCGATTGTGGTGTGGGCCCACGAAAGGCGTTGATTGTTTGTAGGGTTATAGCTGGAAGGGTTCATAGGCAGCTCGAGAATATACAGGAGATGGTGGGGCAAACCGGGTTCGACTCGCTGGCCGGGAAAGTCGGAGTTCATTCGAACATTGAGGAGCTTTATTTGCTCAGCCCAAGGGCTTTGCTGCCTTGTTTTGTGGTGATTTATAAAAGCTAATTAGTTTTATATGTTCTGATTTCTATTCTTTTTCCACTTTGATAGTATTGATTTGGGGTTTATTTGTTTATGATTTCTGGTAAAAAGCAATTTTTTTAGCCCCTAGCTGGTGTTAGAATGTGGTATGTATAGAACTGCCAAAGGAATAATGAGAATACAATTTTTTTATTTTTTTTTCTTATTTTTTAAGCCCCGAAGCTTAGAATGCTAAGTTAAAACACGGCCGGGATATGCAATCCCGATTATATCATGCTCAAGCCACTTGCCAACGGACGGAGGCGGGACAGTGATTTTGATGCTGTGGTTTTTTGTGGTTTGGTGATCTCTCCACTTTTTCTGAAGACAAAAAAGTTGTTGGATTATTAATATTGTTTGGAGAAAGTGATGGGGATAATGAGATTTTGATAGGGATTGCTGACCTGCAAAGTTGGCCCAGAAGAAAGAACAAAAGATCACACCAAATGGTTAATTTGTTGATCATAAAAAATGAAAAGAGAAGGAACAAGGGGAATTGGGAAGGAGATATTGTGGATATTATTACCATATGGAGTAGAGTAAGAAAAGTTATTTAACTTTTTGCTCGATTCGCGACCCGTCAGAATGACACGACTTGTGTCGGATGTCACACAACCCGTGTGACACCTGGGAGGCTGAAACAACTCCAAATCATCGCTTTCGGCCATCTTCAGAGCTCTTTATCTCTTTTCTAGTCTATCAAGGTGGTCGGAAAGTTTCCTAGGTGCCGCGCATGGCGTCTCCGGTCGGTTTCCAACAGTTCCTCTCATCAGGCGGATTTACACAGAGGCCCGTAAGGGCACGGGCTCTTGTAGAATATTTTTAATAATATAGTATATATATAAATATATATATATATATATATATATATATGTTATATGTATAAATGTGTTATTATATTGACATAAAAAATACATGTTATTAATTATTATGCAGAGTTATTTTAATATGAAAAATGAAAAAGAAATGCTAGAATTATTTAACCTTCAATAGTTTGTTATTTTTTAAGTTGTGGAATTTATTCTTATGTTATACTCTTGTTTATTTCCTTTTCCTTGCCAAAGTACATAAAAAAACAACTATTATACATAAATGTATATACTATATATGGATTGGATCAAATGTGTCCACCTAGCTATTAAATAAGAAACAATATGTCTAGTCAAAATTTAATTTTTTTTTAAATTTTTTAATTGGTTAAATATTGATTTGACCGGTGACTTTCGGTGTTGATCATTGACCGTAGTTAATTTGTGCCCCGTTGTCCTTAAAGTCTGCGCCCGCCTGCCTCTCATCATACGGGAATGTACAGTAGCTGACGGCTCGAACATGTTGGATGTGCATCTTCTCCTCCGGTGTGTACAGCGACTGACTCTCGGTGATCCGATCGGTGTACAGGTCTCCCAGCTCTGGCCATCTCTCGCTCATTTCGATAACAGCTTCTCTGGTAGACGGACGTGTGAAGAAGATGAACCAGCTGCCACTTTTTTTATTCTCAAATAAAAATACTATTTTGCCCTCCACTGAATTGATATGTTGGGTTGGACTTTAGCATGAATTGGGCTCTGATTTTGGGCCTTGACGGCTACTTCTGCAGCCCATGTGGTTCGCACACGGTCATCTACCGATTTTCGCCGTTTTCGACTTCAAAAATTAATTCGACCCTATTCCTGTTAAAACTCAAAACAGAACGCTTCATCATAGCACTTAATAAAAATAATTAGATAAATAATTAATTAATATTAAATTACAACGAAACAGGCACAAAAATCACTATGAAAAATGCACGTAAAAATGACGAGGCGTGTCATTTGTACCGTTTTATTTCTAGTCTCTTTTGCAGGTCTTGGGTTGTTGAGGTTATTTGTATCTATTGACACTTGATCACAACCTATTATGAGCCACTCATTTTGGAACCTTATCTAGTCTCTCTAGATTGTTCTAATTAAGTAGAAGACATGAACATATGTATGTAACATTACTTCATTAATTCTGAGGATGCATGTTTCATCTGGTCATGAAGAAAACCTTATCATTTGAGTCTCTATATGATCTCTTCTCATTTTCCAACCTCATAATCGATTAACATGTTTTCTTTATTTCCTAACAAAATGATGATAATTAAGCTTTAAATCCAACATGATGTCATCGTTTTGAATTTCGCTACGCGTATATGAAAAATAAATAAAATCCGTCTCTATATATTAATTCAAAACGTGTTGAGCCTAGGTGACAGATTTTCACGTTTCGGATGCTGACATGGCGAAAATCTATGCTTCGTGATCAGGGGCGGACGCAGCCTCGGAAGATCGAAGGGGCACAAACGTAATCGTTACAAAGTTGAAAAAAAAAATGATATTTATTCTCTTCATGTTCTTATATATTATATCACTTATAATTACATAAATTCGAATTTTTTTAAAAATAACTTTCCAAATACCAATATTTTTTTTTTGCATTGGATATTTTTAGACGTTAGCATTCGTGGACTTCTTTATAGGGAAAATTTCAAAACTAGTCCCACAGGTATAGGGGGGTGACATTTTTTGTCCCAACGGAATTCAAAAAATATTAATAGTCCCGCAGCTTTTGAAAAATAATCAAAAGTAG